TAGCCAAATGTCCCCTGCATTCAAAAAGAAACACCTAGAATTTATATTATCCTCCATTTAATAACCCCCCATTTCTTACCGTCATGAATAATTAGGTGAGCACCCTGCATCCCATGTATTGCGTTAAAGACAACCATGTTTTATTGGTTTGAAAACAGAGCATGGTGAGAACAAGCATCCAAGCTCCGATCTTCAGCTCTCCGTGCTTCTGCTCTGCTCTTTCCATTATGCCTTAATGTGATCTCAAACTCGTGGGTCTATAATGAGGACAGCGAAGGTGGTGGAGTCTACTCAGTGATCATTTTTTTTTTTTTTTATGACAGAGAGGATAGAACCGATCCCCTTAAGGAATCCAAAGCAACCCCATCACATCACTCTGCACAAGTGAGCGAACAGCCACCGTTGGTTCTTTGCAAGATGGTCCGCAACTGAATCTGCCCGTCTAGAAATATGAATCAGTTTGACATCCCCAGCACGTTGCAGAAGGCTTCAGGCTTCACTCAGAATATCGGCATCTACATGGGTAGATACATCACCCTCGTTCACAAGCTTCATAGCATCTGCAGAATCTGACTGCAATATTACCTTCCGATAGCCTGCGTCCCAAGCAATTTTGAGCCCGAGGAGGATAACCCATAGAGAATTTAATCATAAAGAAAGAGAACAAGGCAAAGTGGTCTATTGAAGCACAAGTGTCATCACTCATCAGTCACCACGACACCACCATTCTCTCTCTCTACGGTAATGGATGTCTCTTTTAAATTAACAGTAGGGATTAGCTTATCTTAAGTTTAACTGTTTAAAATTTAAAATGTATTAAAGATGTGTTTGGGATTCAAATTATCCAAGTCCTAAGAGTCTGAATTGCCATTTAACTCTAAATATTATTTTGTCAAAAATAGGAAAGCTAATTCTAAAACAATTATCTTTGACAAAAAGGAGTTACTTTAAAACTTAAATTAACTTGAACATTACAATAATTAAGAACAATTCTGCTTTAATACATAAAGGTAGTTAGTTTCTCTTCAAGCTAAAAAGAAAATAAAATCTCTTCAACTTACACAATATACTTCCTCCGTTGAAAAATATAAGACATTTTTAACCGAATTTCACTCCCCAATAAAGTAGATACGTACTTTTCAACTAACTATATTTTTTTATATTTACTACTATTAAACATCTTACAATAAACATAAAGTCATAATCAATAGGGCACTTTTGAAAAAAAATAATGATTATATTTCGAAAGACTAAAAATGCCTTATATTTTTTTAACATCCAACTTTTAAAAAAATACCTTATATTTTTAAATGGAGGAAATACTTCCTTGAAAATTGAAGGTCAAAACTGCTAATTTTTTTTTCGGTCTCTTGATTCATCTTTTTTTTTGGTAAATGTGTATTTTACTTTTAAAATATTTTTTGAAGAACATTCAGAATCTTAACACTTTTGTTGGAGCAATTTTGCTTTTAAAGTTATTAAAATGAAACATTTTTGCCCTTTCTATCAAATTTTTTATGTTGATCGTTTGAAAATTTGACTGAAAGGACAAAAATACTTCATTTTAATAATTTTAAAAATAAAATTACTCCAATAAAAATGTCTAGATGTTGGATGCTTCTCACAAAATACTTTAAGTGTAAAAATACACTTTTAATTTTTTTTAATACATAATCTCTTGGTTTATTTAGATTGTGCCACTTTTTTCTTTTCTTTTGTATTTGTTGTTTTTTTTTTGGCGGTAGACTTTGGATAAATGTGACAAATCAAAAGCTATGGGTTTTAGATATAATTATGGTTAATTAAATTTATCCATTTTTTTTACAAATTATAATGGATTATGTTTACTTGGAGGGGCTTAAATTTACCCATAAATAAATGTTTCAATTATATTCATTAAATTTTATTAATATTTAAAAATTATCAGAATGCATCTATATATATATATATATATATCATAGAAGAATAACAAGCACATCTCTATGGATGACAAGTGTTATTTTTTTAAATAGTATAATTTTAAAAAGTCACGTAAGATTTTATTTACAAAATTATTTTTAATTCATGAATATAATTTATTTTTATTCCTTCATTTTAGTAACTTCTTAACCCATGATCTAACAATTTCCTAATCACACGATTCCTATTTTAGATATGGTTAGTTATTTAGTATTCTATCATTTTAATAACTTCCTTACTTTACAATTTAGTTTTTTTGAATTCATTCATATAATTAAATTTAAATATGGATAATTATTTATATTATTCATTCCAATAACTTCTTAACCTATGCTCTTATAATTTCCTAACCTCACTATTCCTCTTTTAGATATGGTTAGTTATTTAGTATCCTATTATTCTAATAACCTCCTTGCTTTACGATTTAATTTGTGATTTTTTTAATTCATGCATATAATTAAATTTAAATATGGATAGTTATTTAGATTATTCTATCATTTTAATAACTTCTTAGATCCATGATTCATGAGAATTTGGTGAGAATATATATATATATATATATATATAATAGATAAATAAGAAATATTTTTTCAAGTTTGACACATATGAGTTTTTTTAAAAAAAATATTACAATTCTATGCTATTTACATCATTATTAATTTTTAAAAAATTTTTATAATTTATAAGATTATAATTTAAAAATGTAACTTTTCTCCTATAATCTCAAAATTTCAAATATAATTTTTCAACTATTTCATAATTTAAAATTTTTTTAAAAAAGTATTGTCATTTTGTAACTAATTTTGAATTGGCATGATAATTTTATGAATAATAATTTAAACAATTTTTTGCAAATTAAATCATATAAATAAACAAATAAAAACTGAATGGTGAATGTATGAATTAATGAAATATTTATAAGTTATCCATGTCAACATTAATTTCTAAAAATAATTTTTTACACAACACCAATTTTTTTTTATAGATGATAACAATATTATCTTAAATTGTAGAAATCACTTCCTTTAATTCCTAAATTTTTTCTCCCATAATTTTATACATTATCATAACTTTTCAACTTCTTCACCACCTAAAATATATAATTTCAGCATGCACATTAGATTTTTTATCAAATCTTTTTAAATATTAAACAAGTATTATATATAAAATTAAATGAGTTATTTTAATTCTTATTTTTCCGCATTTCTCTCCCACTCTCCTATCATCATAACTTCCCATAATTTTTTATTTTTAATTTTAAAATTTTAATTACATAAATATACGATCACATTAAGTAGTTATAAAGTACACGGGATTTTCTTTCAATCCTAATATCATTCAATTGCTCCATTCCCTCATCAAGACAAGCAAAATCACAAAACTCTCATTATCTCTGGTTTCTTCCTTCGTCACCAATGCCCTCTCACCCCTTGTATCATCTTTTATGATTATTTTTTATTCCTAATCAATGGTATGATGAGGGTATTATGTGCTTGTAGATATCAAAAGAGCAATTCAATTTTTGATATATTTCATATTCATAATAGATATCAGGTAATTGCACATAAGCATGCATTTTGTAATTTTTTTTACTGAATTTTCCTCCATTATTCTAAATATGTCTTTCATAAACAATAGAAGTGAAAAAACTTAATATGCTCTATTTTTGTGAAGTTATGATTTCATAGAATTTAATTTTTAGTTTTTAAAATAGTTATTGTAAATTGTGTGATGATTTGTTAATTATTTTACAACTCCGTAGGTATATTAAAATTGAACGAAATATATATATATATATATATTGATATGGTTCTTCACATCAACACAAAATAATTTTTCTTTCACTCTTCATATATCTTCTTGACTCTTGGGCATCTCTTTATAAATCTTTTTTTGAAAAGCATATTCATAATAATTTACTCATAGTGATCCAAATTTCTTAATTTCAAATGATATTTTAATGATCTATGTTTAATTTAAATTTTTATTTGAATTATAAATGTCAAATGAATTAATCAAATTTTAAATTTTAAAATTATATATAATTTGTATTTGAAGATAATGACTTAACCATTAAATTTGTGTTTTGATCTTGATGATATTTTATATTGTAATATCTCAGTGACAAGATTTGAAAATATTGATGTTTGTGTTGAAAATTAAATTTTTAATATATATTAATGTTTATTTGTTGATATTTATAAATCATAAAAATTATATTACTTTAAAAAATTTTCTACCCTCACATGATTTAATAGAAAAGATGGAACCATACAATTTTTATATTTACTTTATAATCATAATTTTTCATGGATTATATGTGAGAAAAACATTACAAACTATCTAATTATTAGATAAACCTACAAATAATAAAGAAAAAAAATACAAAATCACAATATTAGCACAATAAAAATAATAAAGTATATTGTGGTTTATAAAGAAGATACTTCAACAATTGTGGAGTATTAGATTTGATTAACTATGGTAGTTTTCTTACTAAAGTGAAAACAAAACAAAGTAAAGAAAATTGGTAGATGGGTTGAAGAAAAGAGGCGAAAGGTATAGAGAGAAAGACCACCATGATTTTGAACATTTGATTAATTTTTATTTTTATAATTCTACGCTCATCTTATTAGTTAATATTATAATTCATTTTATGTAAACTTTTTTCATTTGTATTGATTAACATTTTAAAATAAAATTATTTTAAATTACAAAAATATACTGTGCATTGCATAGGTACTATACTAGTTTTTCTTTAAAAATTTAAAAACTATCGAAACACTCACACACAATGTTTATTGTTTTTTTTAATTTAAGATTTAATATTATATGTCAAATTTGGCAATAAAAAAAATTATATGACAAAATTTATCATAATGCTGTCGTGACTTAGGCCACTCATGGGATCATAATCAACATACCCTCAAGTATTTCCTTATCTTGTAACTCTTAATCTGAATTCTAAAGAGGTTGTTGTTATTGTTGGGGTGGCGGTGATTGTTGTTTGTTTTTTTTTTGAAAAAAAAATAATTAAAAGACATATATTGAATTATTGATCTCTGTAGTAGAGTGAAGTGGATACCTTCGAGCCTCCCCACTGTGTTGTTGTCCCTAGCAGTTGAAAGATAAGGTCTCTCGGGCTCTCGCCCTTTTCCTTGGTCAGAGCTTAACCCTAATAATTTCAATCGGAAATCCTGCTTTTCACTGTTCATCCTTTTTCATGATAAGGTCTAATATCTAATTTGCCTCAGATGCTTTGTTTTTCTATTTCTCAGAAGATAGAGAATAGTCATGGCGGTGACGTCCATGAGTTTCAACATAGCAAGCGCATTTAAAGGCCTTTCCTTGGCTTCAAGCTCTTCGTCATTCTTCTTCAAAGGTGATTGCGGGACCATCAATGTGGTTCCCAAGCCATTGGTCTCGTTCCCCCATAAATTCCCATTAACAATTCAGAACGCGCACAAGAAAGGAGCTGGAAGCACAAAGAATGGCCGTGATTCCAGAGGACAGAGGCTTGGAGTCAAAATTTTTGGTGACCAAGTCGCGAAGCCCGGTTCAATCATTGTTCGGCAGCGTGGAACCAAGGTACCAATTGCATACCGTTATTATTTTTGTCTCCTCGTTTTTAAAGGCTTGAATTTTCATGCAAGCAACCGATGAATGCTTAGTAGCTTTCTCTTGTATTTTGCAACAACTAAATGAGGTTGGCTTTGGGCACTCCTCAATTTTTTCACACTTGTTAACTTCTAATAATGTTTGATTTTGCAGCCAAGGTGCTATTGGATTGTAAGAAGAAATGAATAAATAGTCTTTTGGAACAGTAATTAAAGTATTCTTAACTCCATAGCATACTGAATAAATAGTCTTTTGGAACCCTCAATGTGAAAAAAGGTCTTGCTGCTGGTTAACATGGTGCTATTCTTAAAACTTATGTGGCACACAGAATTAAAGAACTTGCTCACGCTAGTCATTTGAAAAATTCAAGTATATTGCTATTGAGAGAGTAATGTGGGTGTCAAAGCTGCAGCTTAAGCTCAGCCAATGCATATTGCTTAGCCTTTGATAACTGCCACACGCTGCTTTTTCAGGCATACTCAGCTGTGTTTGTATCGCCTTTGTGTTATTTTGTAAATTCTGATTATGTTTTTTCCGGCAATATCAAGTTTCATGCAGGAAAAAATGTGGGACTGGGCAAAGACTATACGATCTTTTCCTTGATCGATGGAGTCGTCAAGTTTGAGAAATTTGGGCCAGACAGGAAAAAGGTTAATTAAGGCTCTTAGGTCTTCTCTGCATTAAAATCCAAGAAAGCAGACTAATTTGTTATTAAACACACACACGCACACACAAAATTGCAGGTAAGTGTTTACCCGCGAGACGTACAGCCTGAGAATCCCAACAGCTATAGAGCACGGAAGAGGGAGTACTTCAGGATGAGGCGTGAGCGCAAGAAAGCTAGAGAAGAAGCAGCAATAGTTCAATCCCAGCTGGTGCTTGCTTCTGCAGATGAAGCTGCAATTAATAATCCAATGTGTTGATTTTTCTCATCCCCCCCCCCTTTATTGTTCATGTATCCGTTAAGTTTCTACAGGTATATTGAAATTTTATTCGAGAGATAAAGGTTAAGAGTGGTTCTTTTGCTTTTGAGTAATGAGATCTCGTTCATCTTGAAATAACAAGTCTCTGACACTCCACCTTATCAAGTATCACAGCTCAAGTTGTCCATATTTTATTCTTATTATCCTCTAAGGTTTACATTTTTCTTCGTGATATACTGCATACTTCCATGGCCATCTTCCCGGAAAGCTCATTGTTCGAATACTCAGTGTTCTTTATATCAGCAAGTGATACTTCCTTTGTCATCGTCGTCTTTTTTTATTCTGTTCTCTTCAGGTTGTTTCAATTGGCATTATTCTGAAAATCTATGACGGGTCTATAACTTCTTTCAGATTCCCTTCATGGACTCATTTCCAATACGCTCATCCAATTCAGTCATGTGCCCTCCCATGGACTATATTGCAGCTCTCATATTGGGAATAATGAATAATTTTATCCCTCCATTGCATAACAATTCAAGCCGGGATCACAGATGATGCTTCTTGCTCTACAAAGCACTCATCCAGGGGCATTTTAGTCCGTTGTAGTGTTTGAGAGCCGAAAAGCATTCTACTCAGGATCCTGGTACATATGCTCAGCTGGTTGTGGAGACGGCTGTCATTGAAGTAATCTCCCCTGCTGAGATGGCAAAATCGCTTGTCCAATTTATTGTTAAGTATGCAGCCAACATTGACTCGGTCCAACAATAGTCTCCATGGTGGTTCAAAGACGTAGGGCCAAGCTAAGTAAGCATCTCCTCGGGGAAGCACAGATTCCTTACGTGCAAGATCAGCTCTTTCAGTTACTTCTAACCTCATTTCACGAAATGGTCATTCATGCTAACGACTACTTGTTAATTCAAGCATATGCTCTTCTGGATAAGCTACCTCCTGATTTCCACTTTCAGTCGTACATAAATAAACTCCATTTTTATTTTATAGATGACAATGGCTCTTTGTATTCTGTTAGGAAGCATTTACATGGAACTTAATGATCGTGCCTTGGTATATGCTTGGAAGGACATGGGTTTCCGGCTCCAGTAATTTATTCCAAGTGCTCTTTAGGATTCCTTATAATCATCAGTAATGTGGTTGCCCCACTACTTCTACTTCACAATTCTTTTTTGGCGAAACTAAGTGTATCATTCTTTCAAAAGAGTCTGCATCTATACAGTACAAAAAATAGCTTTCCTTTGATCATTCAATGCCTTCGAAAGGTGGAGGTAGATCCATCTAAACTAGAACCTAACTAAGCAATTCTTCCCTATTTGATATTTCTTCAATAACCTTTCCCAAATAATGAAGTAGAGGAGTCCCTCGTTAGCATCAGCTGCGATGTTGAGAATAATATCCATGTCGTTGATGTACAAAAATTGTTAACTCCATGAGAAGGCTTCTGATGTTTATGCCTACGTTATCCTGGTGGCTTGCGCCTGTTTGTGGTCAATACTCTAATGTTGGTAGTCAAATCAATTTCATGAAAGCACTTAATCATGAACAATGATGAACTCGTGCAGGTCAATCTCGCATGATATATCCAGTGCCTGAATATTGAGTCAGACAAATGTTTAGCAAATTGGGGAGAACATTGTAAGCCAGTCAATAAAGGAGGCTTGGGACTTAAGCCTATCAACTATGTGAATCAAGCTATACTTCCAAAGCAAGTCTGAGGGCTCGCTTCTTGTTGATACCTTGAAGATCAAACATGTTAATGGTTCTGACGATAATCTTATTCATCATCAGTTTCTCTGTCATTGGACGAAATTGTTTGTGAGTTGGAAGTTGCTCCTCAATTCTGATCCATCTTCAGTTAATCAGTTGCTGATCTGACGGGTGTCTGAAAAGAAAGAACAAAAATCTTGTCTGCTTCTTTCTCCTTTCTGCGGGATGAGTATCTTGTTAAGCTGAGATAAAAACAAGAATGACGCAGATAAAAACAAGAATGACGAGCTTGATTTGCTTTTTGCACAGAATCATTGGAGCAGAGGTAGACAATATCATTTCTGGAAAATGAATCTGCCGCCTAAAAATTTAATGTTGCTCTGGAGGCCTTCGCACCTTGCCAAACCTGCCTCTGAGATGTTGAAGTTGCATCATCAGGATAATGATATGCTTTGTGCTTTTGGTGGTGATACAGATGAAACAATTGATCATGTCTTTCTTTATTGTAATTTTGAAGGGCTGTTGGTTCGTGTTTAGTATCTGGAAAGCTTGGAACTTAATACAACAACAACAACAACAACAACAAGCCTTTATCCCACTAGGTGGGGTCGGCTACATGGATTGCAAGACGCCATTGTGCTCTATCATTTATTAAGCTTTTAGAAATATTATTAATTAAGAGATCACGTTCAACAACTTCCAAGAGTGTTCTCTTAGGCCTTCCTCTACCTCTCTTAATCGGACTCAAAGTTATATGTTCCACTCTTCTCACTGGTGCCTCCCTTGGTCTTCTTTGTACATGCCCAAACCATCTCAACCGATTTTCTACCATTTTTTCCTCAATAGGTGCCACCCTCACTTTTTCACGTATGTGCTCATTTCGAATTTTATCTTTACGTGTATGTCCGCACATCCATCGTAACATTCTCATCTCTGCTACTCCAACTTTATGCTCTTGCTGTCCCGTTAGAGCCCAGCATTCACTACTATATAACATTGCCGGTCTGATAGCAGTACGATAAAACTTTCCTTTAAGTTTATTAGGCACCTTACGGTCACAAATAACTCCTTTAGCTTTTCTCCAATTAAACCACCCAGCTTGAATTCTATGTGAAATATCTCCACTGATTTCGCCATCATTTTGGATAATGGCTCCCAAATATCTAAACTTTTCCACTTGAGGTATAATTTGATCTCCCAATTTTACTTCCAAATTATTTTCGAATAGTCCTTTATCAAATTTACAATATAAATATTCCGTCTTACTTCTACTCAGACGAAAACCTTTCGACTCCAATGTCCTCCTCCATAACTCAAGTTTGCAATTAACCTCTTCTCTTGTCTCTGCTATAAGAACTATATCATCCGCGAAGAGCATACATTTCGGGATTTCCTCTTGAATATGTTCCGTCAAAACATTTAAAATCAAGTTGAACAAATAAGGACTCAGAGATGATCCCTGATGTAGCCCAATCTTTATAGGAAAATCCTTTGTTTGACCACTAGGAGTTCTTATACTAGTTTTTACCCCCTCATACATATCTTGTATGGCTTTAATATAAGCAATCCGTACTCCCTTTTTTTCCAACGCTTTCCAAAGCACTTCTCTTGGTATACGGTCATAAGCTTTTTCCAAATCAATAAAAACCATGTGTAGATCTTTATCTTTACAACGATACTTTTCCATTAATCCCCTTAGTAGATAAATCGCCTCTGTAGTTGATCTACCTGGCATAAAACCAAATTGATTCTCAGAAATACTTGTCTCCAATCTCAACCTATGCTCAATTACTTTCTCCCACAATTTCATTGTGTGGCTCATGAGTTTAATCCCTCTATAGTTAGTACAATTCTGAATATCTCCTTTATTTTTATAAATAGGAATTAATGTACTTCACTGGTAAACTCATTAAGCTTGGAACTTAATGGTGTTAAAATATCACTGGTAAACTCTCTCGCTCACCCCCACTATAATTTTCTAGATTAATGAAAAGGCAGTCAATGGCTGTAGAGATCAAGAAAACAATGGAGACTTTAGCTGAAGCAATGCAAAGGCTATGCAAATAAGAAAAATCCAGAAAGTCGGAGATGTATCGATAACTGACCTACTAGCAATATAAGTAGTTGAAGTTAGATGATGTGGTGTGTGGTAGAACGTGAGTTGCTGTTTTGTTTTTGGGGGGGTGGGGGGAGCAGAGTGGAGTGACGTAGACAGAGTAGGGTGTGAAATAAGAGTGTCAGGAAGGAGGAAAGAGAGTGTGAGAATTGAAGAAAAATCATGAGGTTTTTTTATAATATTGTAGCTTGAGTGAAAAATAAAAGTGTATTTTCAGTTAAGTTCCTCTCTTCATCCTCAAATCCCAACAAATGGCCCAAAGAAGCAAAAAGATTGAACTTACAGCAATCAAGTTCAGGAGGTTATTAATGCCCTTCATCAGGTTTTGGCCTTTTGGATTCTTCCTATTGGAAAATCAATTTTTTTATGTATTGCTGTTAGAAGTTAAAAGTTCCCACAAGGTGAACCCTTACCAACTAAACGACGCTAATAATGCTCCTCTTATTTTACATTTGTCATCGAGTTCCTTTATCTTTCTTTTTCGGCATGTATGTTGCAAATGTATCCTTTTAATATAATTTATGTTAATAATTAAATGTCCACGTTATGTGTGATGCTTCAAAAGCAAATCGTATAACTGTCTTTGTTATCATGTTAAAAATAAAATAACAATATTTGTGTGTTTGTATCAGAGTCCAATGTCAACTTAGCTACTTTAAAAATAGAATTCAATCAAATTCAATTGTATTGACGACATATATGAATATATGATACAATATCAAATACAAAGTGGTGGGCTGCGTGATATATTTCAAATAAAAAAATATATTAATTTAAATAAAATATTGATGGCTTAGAAAATACTTGATGCTAGTGCAAAATAAATGAAATAGCTCAAATATCATTTCGCGCGCGCACGCACACACAATTTACGTTTTACTTGCAACTTCTATTGCATTATTCTCTAGCACCTCTATCATTTGCCAGTGTTTGCACCTGAAACAGCAGTCCTAAAATATGGTAGAGGCTAGAGAAAAGTGCAACCGAAAATTCAAACTATAATTTTTTTTTTTAAATGTGTGGGTATGTGTGTGGGGTTCATATACGATTCTACTCTTTAAAGAGGGTGGGATCTGAGTGCACAATTAGCGCCTCCTACTAGGAGCTCATGAAAATGCTCACATCTTTGCTGGACGAAAGCCTATGTGTTATAATCACCGAATGCAATCTTACCAGGAAATATATATATATATATATATATATCATCTAATGCATCCAGTAATTAAACAGTCCGAACACATGGCTCTTTGATATGGGGCTTAAATTAACTCTCTTAAAATAATAATATTAATCTGTCATATCAAAAGAGTTTGGAACTAAATTTCTACCACATTAAAAAGAAGGGGCTCTTGTTCTTGTAGAAGGACTTGTGAAAGCAGTGAATTTGTTGGCTAAAAAATACTTCCTCTAATTTTATTTATAAGGCATGATTTATAAAGTTTATTTGGTTTTATAAGTTATGATGTTTCTTTTTAAATAATATTTAAAAAATATTTTAAAAATTATTTTTAATGAGATAAAAATCATATAATATATGATATTTTTAAATTTATTATATAGGGATATATTTAAAAATTTATATATATATATATATATTTTTTTTTTGCATTGATAATAGTGAAGTTGATAAAAATGATTTATAAAAAAAAAACGGAATGAGTATTCTGAATGGGACTCATTTTAATAATGGAGGCGCAGTCCTCATCCCTTTCACTTCCTTGTAAAGAAAATGACGTCCCTCCATTTTTTTAAAATGTTTATAATTCTTTAAAAAAAAATAAAGAACCAGAGATAAAAAAAAGGGCTAAGGTTATCTTAATCTTATCACTAACACTACGGCCTCATGTTCACACATTATTATTTATTTGTATCTATCAGAGATTGAAAACGACCTCTAATCAAAACCCTTCCCTCATTGGTTCTGGCCTTTGACGAAATCGCACCTTGTGGTCCCCATGCCATTTAATTTCCCATTTGTTGAAAACGTGTCTCTTGCCACATTAGATTTTTTTTCCCTCCTCAAAACAAAATTACATTTATACATTCATCTTGAAAAATTAATTTTTTTTACAAGCTTTCAAAAAAAATTATTCCTTACCAACAGAGACTGCACCTTGTTCAAATTGACCAACAATCAGGCTTGAGTTTTTTTTAAAAAAAAAATTCAGCTTGACTTAATATACTTGAGTTCGACCAGATTATCCATAATTAGAAACACAATGGGGGAAAATCCCATGAACATTACTCTAAAGATAAGGAAAATCGAAATCTTAAACTATAAGAAATTGGTTTCTTCCTTCCTGTCATGAATTGGAAGTTGACCTAACTTTTTTGGGTTCCACCAAGATGAGCAAGTGCCGAGTTGAGAAATGATTAATATTTATTGAAGATTGGATTTTATTCTCAAGATTGGACACGACATTTCTATTTATAATAACCACTCAAACTCTATATAACCACAACCACTCTCGTTCCTGTTTCGGTTCCCACGTGAATCAAATTTTTCTATGGTTCATGCCAAACCAATTTTCTGACACAGACACCTCTTGTCCCCCATTCTGTTTTGATAAATACCTAAATGAAGTTTTATTATTGTTTCCGTGTATCGAAGTCTAGGACTGTTCAGTTCAATATTATACTTACATGCAAATGCAATGCGAGTTCATTATTTTGTTTTTTTCTTTTTTAACTCGTTGAAATACGATTCATGTATGGCGAGACATTGTTGGTTTTATGCACTTTGTATCACATTTGGCATACAATATGCTGGTCCAGTTTTCTTTTATCATGTTACAGTCTTGAAGTGTTCATCTTTTGAAGTATTTCTTGTTACTTGTTTTCTTATCTTTAGCTGTTGCCATCCACCCAATGACAAAATTGATGAATTGGACATCAAAATCAAAGCAAATCAACTTTTTGAAAAGTTTAAATCTTTGGTGGAAATTAATTTGCTTCCATCATTCCTTTCAACCTGATTCATCCCAAAAAAAAAAATGACCGTAACATGAACATGAAGACTGAGAGTGGCATGATTCAGATCAAGAAAATTTTTTAAATAAATGCAATCAGTGAATTCGGCAGTTCACTCTCTTTCACTAAGAACTAAAAGAGATAGAATCAAAAAACAGAACAAAATTGATATATTAAAAAAAAAGGCCTAAACCGGGATTTAATTCCATTAAGACAATAATTTGTGAAATAGTTACACAGCGAACAATATGTCGTATGTTGTACAGTCGGAAGCTTATATCCCGACTAGTTCTTGACTGATACTGTAATTTTAGCACAGTTTGATACTTAAGAATGTCAGAACTATAAATTTTGATCAAAGGAAGAACACAAAAGCACCTCCTTTTTGCAGCAATTTTTAAATTACAACAAATTGTTCTCTCCAAAATAAGTACCATTACTTAAGGTAGGAGGTCACTATGCTTGCTTGGCTGATAGAATATTAGAACCAGCAGAGGTAGTTGCAGAGAAATTAGCAACATCCTCGGATTTCTTGCTTAGGTTATATGGTGCTGCTGCATTCATCACCCTGCATACACCGAGAAATGCCTTGGATTATATGAATTATCATTCCAAACGCAACAACGCTGGCAAAGCAAAGTTATGGCTCAAGATGTAGTAAGTATGTGTAACCCAAAACGAAGGTAAAATGTCCTCAGAAGGATAACACTTCCAGAGAAAAGAATTATGACATGTGGGGAAATTTTTAGGGAATGGATAATGTAATGTTAAAGTTGTAAAAGATGTTCGCTTGTCAACAACCAATCGAACAGCTAAGAAACCTGGGTTTTATACTTCGGGGAGGAAAAGCAGCAAACAAGACATCTTAATTTCACAGTTTTAATGGGCATTCAACCAGATTTTACAGTTTTAAGGAGCACACATGTTCCAGAGCCAAGGAAATTAAACCATTCGCTTAAGAAAGCATAAATCGCATGGTTATTACAGCTAAAAGTCTAACCTTTCTTTGCGCTTCTCCAAAAACCGTGCCAATGATGCTTTACGAGCCTGTGGCACAGCTGCATAAAAGATTGCATATCAGTTTCACCATGCAAAGTCTCCTGACATTTGAATTGATTGTAGTACAAGAAACATAACATCACAAGAAGTAATAACAGAATCATACCAGAAGGCAACATAGCAGTTGCATTAACTACTTTTGGAGGCTCCACTTTGCTAACAAGAGTGGTGGGAACTCCAGTTGTTTTAACTGCCAGAAGCTCATCAGTGCTACTTGAGCCACTCCTTGACTGTGTGCCTGTATGTGAAGACACAGATAGAGGACTGGAAAGACCAGGGCAAGGTGATGTATTTATAGGATGACTCACAGGAACACCTTCGCCTGAAGTCAGCTTCGAGTTTGGTGCCTGAACGTTCAGCTGTGCCTTGTTTGAAGTCACAGGTAACCCATTCGCAGCCAACAACATGATAGCTTGTGCCTAGAAAAAGCACAGCCAAATTTAAGTTCATCGTTAAGGTATGTACTGTATATGCATGTCCATGTGTGTATTTATTCTTTCATTTATGTCAAAAACCACCTCAACTCAAAAGGTTAAACTGTCAAGCAAAGGTCAAACTCTTTTAACACTCACTTGGATCATAGAGGATTATTTAAGTGAAAACTCCTGAATGGCTTTTTTATAATCACAATTTAAAATGTGTTTTTAGGAGGGATAGACGGGGATAAATAATATATACGTATATACATGTGAGAGAGAGAGAGAGAGAGAGAGAGAGAGAGACCTTCTCAGGGGAGATATCATCAAAAACATTCACAGTACCAGCATAGAAAATGGTGAGTTGACTGGGTGGAGCAGATGGCTTCAAACTGTCATTTTAGAATGACATCAGTTAGAGAATAGAGACATAAAAGGGAAACAATACACTCACAAAGATAATTTCTCTAAATTACCATGATTCAGTCATAGCTGCAACAGAACCGATTTCAGTGGGGACTAAATGAGGCAAAGTAACAGGCATACCCCCTAGCAGCTGTTGCTTTACATCATTACCAACCATATGCTGACCCACTGTGGTGAAATGGTTCTTCAAGAAAGAGTATCCCATGGAAACAGAAATTGCTTGATTGGGAGCTGAAAACATCTTCACATCTTGAGAACGATTCAGCAAATGCACATCATTTGGTACAGGATACGGAGTCAGGGAAAAGTGAATACCACCTTGCCCATCGTGATTGAAAGGTTTCTAAATAGTAAGAACAAAGAATCAAAACAGGAGAAAGACATCAGCTGATAAACTTGCGGAAGATAATATCCTGCTGATGAACTCAATTTATATTGAAAGCATGTTGGAAAATGGGACACAGGACTTTGCAGAAAAGGCAATTGTATTGTTAAGATCAGATCCCAAGGTTTTGCTCAAAACATCAGATAGAACAGTACACAATAAAGTCTTAGTGGGAAGCTTCTCCTAGGAAACTAGAATTGACTTCAATCTAAAATATCAATTATAAAACACAGGTCATTAATATACGTGCAGAACAACGTTGTAACGATTGAGCAGCCTTAGAAGGTCCTAATGCACGGATAAGGAAAAGAGGAAGGGTGCTTCCAAACCTGGATTTCAGCAGCAGAGCGCTTTTGAGCAGCATCAAATGCATCCGGATTTGAGATAGCCATAAATCCAGCATATGTGAGGGGATCAGACCCCATCTTCTTGGTCTTGTCATCTTGAGAAACCTTAAAAGACATCAAATGTGGGAGAGCAGAGACTTTGTTCGAGAAGGGCCATTGTGCAACCGAACTCTTATTAAAGCCTATATATACACACAAAGTAGCCGACATAAGCTAGATTAAACTTCATGCCTGATTTCTTTGCTCAATAAACCATTGCATAAAAGCGGAACAGAGTGAGAAGGGAAAAGAATGAATGGTAAAGTTTCACAATTCCACCGTCTGTCCATATCTATAAGCGTATGTGTTTACGTGCGTCCCTATTTGTAATACTCAAATCAACAAAATTGCAAGAACAACATAATAAATCTTTTTTATAGCTGCTAATTCTGCACAGACACAACTTCAAAAAAGGAGCCACAAGTTGCCTGTTGAATTTTTTCCGCGCCAGTGAAATCTCCAACCACATGAACCGCTAGAAAGTAGCTACAGTATCAAAGTCAAAAGACAGAATCGGGAAAAATCAAGTATAATTAAGCAAATTCAGAACTGGTTTGATTATTAAATTTCCCATCTCAGTTCAGCTAGCCGTGCAGCCTAAAAGGATAGCATCGACAAAGACAAAAATCGAAAGGTGACCCCGACGTAATTCAGAAATTTAGGCTCCAAAAGCACAAAGCATCCCAAATTTGCAAAAGCATCTGAAGAAGTAGAAAACGACGGAAGATGAACAGCTGAATTTGGAGGAGAACATGCCTGAATCTTTGCATCCATCATTTGTAATCTCCTCCTTCACCATAGCTAAAGGTTCTTTTGAGCTTAAACCCATGAAATCTCTCTCCATTTCAGAGCAGAGAGCAGAACCAAACGGGGCCCAACCTCCAGTTTTTACCCAGAACCGACTTAGTTTTCTACCGGCGAGAGGGAAGCAAGCCTTCTTCCTCCGTCACGCACAGGAACCAGCGAGGGAGAAGAGAAGAGCAAAAGAAAAAGCTTCCAACGAAAGAGAAGGGTGGGGGGTAGCAATACAGAACTCAATCTGATACTAGTTTAGAAGGTGGTTCATGAAATCTTGACCGTTAAGTATTTATTTATAAAAGTGAAGAGAGCCTGGGTTATCAAAGGTGGCTGGTTTACCGGTAAACTGGAAGAGAGACGGGATGGTCCGGTAAAGGAGCACGTGCGCGACCCCATTGATTCACATGTCGGTGATAACGCCATTTTGCGTCGACCGTCACTCCTCCCTCGTGAGCCGTGACACTGGTGAAAATTCAAGCACGTGTGTACGACGCGTGAGTGCTCCTCCGTTGCCTCGTGAATTAATTTATGTTTGCGCCTGTGGTTTTGGGACCCCCATAGGCCAATGTGTGCAGATGTCTCCTAAATTTCCTCATAGTTGTACATTTTTATCTAATATTAAAAAAAAACTCATAACATGCTTAGAATTATATCCCTTTCAATCTTATTTATAAATTATTTTTAACATATTTCATTAAAATTAAAAATAATTTTAAATTTTATTTAATTTTGTTTAAAATTTTATTAAGTATTTAATTTTACACTATTAAATATATATATTTTAAAATAAAATATTCCAATATTTGCTAATACAGTGGCAAAAGAAGAAAAGATAGATATAAAAATTATAGATCTGCCATGCAAATATCACTCAAACGAATATTCTCCCTCCATGAAAAAAAAAAAGACTATGGGACCGGGGAAGCATTTGTATCTAATATGTAAATATGAGTAAGTTAAAATCTTTTCATTTTCATTTTATTTAGATCGAAAATAGATTTCTTTCGATTCTAATATTGGGGAAAGTACAATTAGTACTGTATAATGAAATTAATGATAAATAAGAATTTTGAATTTTTGATATTACTCAGGAAGTATCATAAATTAAAAAAATGTTTATTATTTATATTTAGATGATAAGTTGTGGTTGTAAAGTTTATGAATTATGATATAAACTGTAAGCATTGGTATACTTGAATTGTCTAAATTATGATTTTACGGGTTGAGCTGTGAATTTTATGAATTATATGCTTTCTATTTAAAAAATAAAAAATATATAAGAACTTTAGCACTGGATAAGAGTGTATAAAATAAGAGATAAAATATGGCTTCGTGTAAAATTATTGGATAGGAGAAGTAAGAAAAAGATGAATGAATAAATTTTAAAAGAATGAAATATCTCTCAAAATGAAAATAAGAAAGGGTGTTTGGGGCAACTTTTGAAATTGTAGCAATGTTTCCACGCGGCACTTCAACATAGAATCACCGAGTACTCATTTCAATTAAATTAATTAATTTTTAAATATTTTAATATCATATTTATTAATATAAAAATTATAAAAAAAATAGTATTAAATTTTAATTGTTTAGAGTGCATTTAAATAGTTAATTTATAAAATTATAAAAAAATTTAATATTAAATTAAGCCATCCAAATTACATGTGAACTATCTAAAGTATATCCAGATAATCAATTTGTAAACAAATCAGATTGGTGATGAACGTATTTATTAAAATAAAAATAAAAATTGTGAATTTAAATGATCCAAATTTTGTAAGGAGTTATGAGTACCATAGTGCTCATCCCTTGTAAGTGTTGAAGACAATCCAAATTTGATATTAAATTTTTTTTATAATTTTTATATTAGTAAATACAATATTAAAAATATCTATAAATTAATTTAAATGAACGGCAAAAATCATTTGAAAATAAAATGAAAGGCCAAGATTAGCTCATAAGTGATGAGCACTCAGTGCTCGAATGCATGTAAGATCTGCATAATTCACCATATGCTTGACCACATTACTCAACATTATGGTAATTAAAAGGTAACCAAACTCTATTACTTTACTATGGTAGAAATAATTTAACTATAGTTTTAAAATAACTAATTATAATAGAAAAAGAAATATTTAATTCAAATGTCTACTATGATTGATTAAAAATGAACTTATTAAATTAAAAACTCTAAATAACCTCTGTCATGATACAATGGATTCTACCATAATAGAATAATTTAAAACCAAATAATTTATCTCTATTATAATAAAAAATTTGAAACTCATTTGTTAATAGAAGTTCTTTAGTAAAAGTGGGATCCCCCATTTAATTAATCTTAACCTTTCCCAAACAAGAAAAACAATCATTTATGAGAGTTCTAGAATAGTTGAAAGCATGGGATACCATTAAGAGTTGAAACAAATTGAAAACAGAGTTTAAGAATGACATTTTCCACACAATTACATCATTAATCGCAGACAAAGGTGTGTCCATTATGACTGATAACATAGAGGTTATCCATTACAGTTCACCTCCCCTGTGCCATTCGTCGTGTGACATTGTACAAAAACTTTGACAATTATAGATTTGGCAACCAAACTCCCAACGTGCTCTAAATCTCTGTTCAATGCCCAAATAAAATGATTTAGTTATTTATAAAAAGCTTATTCAGTCACCAAACTAATGGCATTGATGTCATTTCTAAATATTCACATCTAATCAAGATGGATATCTAGAATCAAAATAATCTCCTTTTCACCCTTTACCACCTTCAAGGTGTCTAAAACCAAAACCAAGTACCAAAAACCTACTACAACACCTATACTACATTTAATGGACCCTGGACAACTTATGCAATGCACCATAGATATGAAAATTACTATAATTCTCATTTTAATCCTCCAATCCCAAACTTCAACATACACAAGGAGAGGTTTCTCAATGCCAAATTTATAAATTCATTTTCAAAATTTACCAATATTTAGCATAAACGAACTTGCATCAATGCCTTAGCAAAATTCAAATCAAACCATAACATCTTAACAATACTAAGGCCTAAAAGCTCATAATTACTGGTTTAGATTAAAAAATGCAAGTACAAACAAAACATGAATCCTAGCTAGCATCAATGATTCAATTACAGAAACTAACTAAAGACATTACACAATTTCTAGTTTCTAGTGCCAACTATCTTCCTATTGCTCTTACCCGAACGTTCTCCTATAAAATGTTAATCTATGGAGGTAAAATAAAAACCTTAGCAACCAAATAACTGGTTCAATCACATGCAATAAGTGATATTCATGAGTATGTAAAGGGGGCATATACAAAACAACCATGTTTAACATACTGAAGCATGCAAACACAAATGTGCATATGTATGCCAACAACTTATTCCCTTGATTTGCACTCTTGATTGAGACCATGAGATATTAATATAAACATGCATAGGTCATATGACTAATATAGCCTAAGCTCTCTGATCAGGAGAGGCAGTTCAGCCGAAAGTCACCACACTCATTCTTAAACCAGGGCTCCCTTGTCCTTAAAACAAAATGTTGTCTTACACCAGACTTCTTACCATCTCTTATTCACTGAGAATGATAATGTATAGCTCTTGCTAGATTCCACTTCACCACTTCCAGAGATGATGATACATAGTGATCTAAATATATATCGGACTCCACACTAATTCTCCTATCAGGAAAGGTGATTCATAGTATGTGCCTAATATCAAATTTGTCCTAGTGTTGGCCAATCCATGTAGATTTCTATTACTTTCCATCTCCTCTACCATTATTATTAACATGTCATCATGCTTAAAATTACAATTATGCTCAACAATCAAAAGGAAGTTTAAAAACACATGCTTGAGTTTCACAAACCACTTAGATAAAAAATCACGTGTCAATTTCATGCTTATACAAATACACATTTCAATCAAATTTTGCATAAAATTTCAAAATCATAACAATTCTTTTCATACAAAAATATACCATTTATCAATTTCATGAATCTCACAAATGTACCACACAAGAATAGAGAAAGAATAGGTTCCTGGTCACCTCAACCTTTAATTTTATGAAACCAAGAGTACCTTATATCAATCTGATTGAACCTCCAACATGCTCAATATCACCAATATAAGGTTCGTCTACAACCAACACAATGATAACCATTAACCACTATTTATATCAATCTAATTGAGCCTCCAATATACTCAATATCATCAATATAAGGTTAGTTTTCAGCCAACACAATGAAAACCATTAATCATTATTTATCAACAATTTCTTCAAATCAAAGTCTCAATCTCAAAATCATATTGTGGCCACTAGCCACAACTACAATCATTTCTCAATTATGTTGGTTGTTAAACTTTCATTAGTTTGCTAAGCATTATAAAACTCTCATAATAGCATTAATTCACTTGTTTAACTTTGAATATAGTTGAGAGACATACATGACTTTTAACCATTTATTAACTTTCATTTGGCTCCAAACAACATTATTACTCTCAAACAAATCAAAAATCAATAATTATAGTATAGGGTTTGTCAAAAAACAA